CTGTTTCTAGGCCTCCGCCCGTGGGCCCCGTGCCTGGACCGTGGCCTCTAGGACCCATCGGGGACACAGCGCTCCCTGGGCTCCGGCCCCATCGCGCCCCGCTCCCCGCACTTTCCCACCACAAGGGCTCAGGCCGCGCCGGCCCGGCGGGGGAGGGGCCGCAGGAGTCATTAGCCGCAGATTAGGCAGGACCGGGGGTCCCGCGGGGACCCGACTCGGAACACTAATCCGCGCGCCGGCGGCACAGCGCCTCAGACGCAGCTGGACTCGGCGGAGCGAGAGGGGTGCGGGGTCGTGGGCGCGGGCGCCCCCTGGAGGCCGAGCGGCTCTACGCTCGGGGAAGAGGCCTCGGGCACCCCCTGTCGGGCAATGCCGACCCCGCGCTCCCGGCGTCCGGGCAGGTAAGTCGGCGCAGGGACTGTCCCTCCACGCCCAGCCGGTCACGCCAGCCGCTCCCGCCGCCAAGGCGGTGGGTCCCGCAGACTCCACTCTCCTGGTTCTGGGGGGGCAGGCCGGAGGGCGGAGAGGGCACGCGGAAGCGCCTGTCTCGCCAGCTGCTGGCGGCGCCCGGGGTTCAGGCTGGTTCTTCTTGCGGGGCCAGAGGCATCAGACGCCTGGGGCTTCCGCTCTGCTTTGGGGCTGCAGGTCTCGAGGCTGCCCCCTGGCCCGGCCTGTCGCGGCCTCTGGCTGCCCTCCTCTCTGCCTCTTTCTTTTTCAGCCGTCGGTCTGTCTCTGTCTAGCTCGGTCTCTGTGGGTTCCTTATCGTTCGGACTGTGTCTGCCTGGCTCGCCCTCCGGTGCGCTCTCCACCTGGCTTTGTCCCTCTGCATCTGCTTTCTGTGTCTCTCTCCTTCCCTCTACATCTCTCTACCTGCGAAGTCTCTCTTTACGCGCCTCTCTCTGTCTCTGCCTTTATCTCTGTCTCCGCCCCCACCCCATTCCCCAACTCGATTCTTAGTCTCTGGGTTGCTGCCCCTAGGAGGCTGCAACAGTCCAACGGGACAGTCGGGGACACCTAAGGGCACTGCCCGGGGTCCTCTTCCTGGTCACCTCCACGTGCCCGTCACTTCGGGGCGGCCTTGGACCTCCCGCTGCAGCTGTGGGGCGTGGAGCGGGCGCCCGGGAGGGAAGACACCGTGCCCAGCATCTGCTCGGGAGCCCCGGGGTCCCTGACCCCCTCTGCCACTATTAAGGGCGCTGGGTCCCGAGGCTCCGAGATGATCATGATTGCATCAGCCAGACAGAAGCGGAGCCGGGAGCCGCGCGGCGAGTGAGCGAGACAAAGACGCCCGCGCCATCTGTTTATGCAAAGCGCTCTCCGCGGGGGACCCTGGCGTCCCGGCACCTGGCCCGGCTCAGGGCACAGGGTCACAAGCCCGCTCCCAGCCGGCGCCCCCGCCGCGCCTTGGCGTTCCCTCTCCCGGCACCCAGAGGGGCCGCGGGGCTAGCGGAACCGGGAGGGGGCGGGGCTGTTGATGTGATTGGAGCGGACGCGGCTGTTTCTTCAATAATGGATGGAGATGATGCGGACGGCGGAGCCGAGCCGGCCCGGGGAGGAGAGAGGAATAGAAATGGGAAAGGAAGGAGAGGGGGCGGGAGCCTCACCCAGGCGCGCGCACAGGCGCGCGCGCACGTGCGTCACACTGTCATTCGGACACACGCCGCCGCGCGGCTCACACCCAGGCACACGCCCACGCGCTGTCACCGAGACACACACACCTGCAGGCGGAGACGCGAGAGCAACACACACGCACCAGTGGCTGCTCCTGATTTTCACACATCCCCAGCCCTGCAGGCAGAGACACACGGAAACGCCCCCACGCGGGGCACACCCAGGCGTGAAGGGCGGCACAGACGCCTAAATGCACAACACAGCCCACATGCACACAGACGCCCGGACACCCCGGGGCTTAGGCAGACAGATCTGTGGGGGGGGGGGCTGGGAAGTGGACAAACCGACAGGCACAGACACACACTCGGGACACAAATTCGGACATACACCTGGGGCTCAGAGACACACACCTCACACACATGCATGCCATGCGGGCAGGGGGCGGGTACAGGTGCCCACAGTGGCCAGGGGCACAGAGAGACCCCTGACCACCCACACCCCCTCCGAGATTGGCACCTACACACAGCAGGAGCTGTCATCTGTGCCTTGCGGGGGTGGGGGGGAGGGGGTCGGCGGACTGCAGCAGGGAGGTCGCCAGGGTCTCAGGAGCAGGCCTCGTTAGCCTAGCAGTATAATGAGATCGTGGCGACAGGAGGCGCCTCGGGCTGTGGACTGGGAGGCTGGGCCCCATCGCCTGCCAGCAAGCTTCCTTCCCTGGGACCCCGGGGTGGGCGGGCTGTGTGGGGTCTTGGACGCCTCTGAGCAGCAGACCCTGCGGGAACTGCTGGCCCCAACTAGACAAGTCTGGGGGAGGAGGAGTCGTGGGGGTGCGCTGGGGATTCCTAAGACCCCCGACATGCTGCTGTCGGAAGTTGGAGATGGTCACTCTGTACCCTACCTTGTCCCCCTCGTGCTGCCCAACCTTCCGACTTCGGTGGGCACTTTTTCCCCCCTAAGAGTGGAGTGGGTAATGGGGGGTGCTGTATTGTACCCTAGTACTCGGTCCTTCCTCGGATCTGTTTTCAATGCAGTCTGCTCCTTGGCCCAGACTTATGACCTTTGCAGCACGCGACAGTATCATCCATCACCCAGGCTGTCGAGTGCGGGATGGAGGGCGCTGGGGACTCACACAGGGTCGCTGTCATGCCTGCGGCCCTCTCCCAGGACTTGCTCTCCGGCCGCGGGCCAGGGTTCTACAGTGTGGAGGGGAGGGCGTGACCATGGGGTCCAGTGGCGGCTATGGGTCTGTGTCCCCACTGCTGGCACCCCAGCACCCCTCCTTCGAGCTCAGCACAGCCTGTCTCCCCGCTCCTCCCGCCCCCCTTCTCTCGGGCCCTTTGCTTAATTTCCTATTAACTGCTGATAAATCCAATTAAACCGCCGCTCTAATTAGGGACAGCTGCCGGCTCGGTGAGGCTAGGGAGGAGGCCGCCTCCCGAGTGTAGGGGGAGAACAGCAGCTCTCCTCACTCCTCGGCACCCGCACACCAGCATCGCCGCCCAATGAGCCAGGAAATTGCTTTTGCTTCAGCATTGTGGGGGGCCCTCTCGAGGATCCGGGGGCCTCCGTTTTGAGTCCCCCAGACCTTGATGAGAAGAAGCGACCCGAGTTCCCGTGGTCCCTCCCCTCACACATTCGTGGTAGGCAGAACCCAAGGATGAGGGCAGAGGCTTGACCTGCGTGTGTGTGTAGGGGTGTGTGTGTCTGTGATCTGCTCCGATTCCACTCAATCGCGATCAGAGGGGGGGGATCTTCCTTAAGGACCCCGCCCCGCCCCCAGGCATCTTGGATGGTCAAGGGCAAAAAGAACGGAAAACCGAACCCGGCTCCGCAGTCTTCTTGTGTGCTTCCCTACCCCCATCACACCTCAGCCTTCTGGAAGGAAGGGGGGCGCGCCCGTCCCGGGCCCTCCTCTTCCCCAGCCCAGCTGAGCCTCTGCCCTCCCCCCGCCGGCAGCAGATGGTGCCCGGGCTCCCGCTGCCAACCTTGCTAGGCAGTGCCAACCTCAGTCCTGGCAGACAACGGGCAGACGAGAAGAGGAGCTCCTGGCTGGCCAGACCGACCCTCCCCCACCCGCCACAAGCCCAAGACCCGCCGCCTGCCCTCCTCCAGTGACCACCCCAGCCTGCCTCTCACTGGTCCGCTCCCAGGTCCCCAAACTCCTTGTCTCCTTCTGCTCCCTTCCCCACACCTTCCCGCTCCTCGCCACCTGCCGCCCTGACCGGGGTCGACGTATTTGCATATTTGCATATGCAAATAATAATATTTGCATACGGCGCTCCGCAGGGGGGGCTTCGGCGAGAGCCGGTTAGCCGTCCGCCCTGCGCTCACTCGGTACCTGTCGGAAAGGGCCGGGGCAGGGACCGCGCGGGAGGGGTTAGGCCCCCCGGCCTCGCTAGCTGGGTTCCCGGAGGACTTGAGGAAGTGTTGCCATGGAGACGGCACGCACCCCACCGCCTCCCAGGCCTAGGGTCTCGGGCTTGGTGTCTCTGGTTCTTTCCCCTTACCCACCCTCCACCCCCTCCCCATCCCTCGCTCTCCAACGAGATCTTGCATCGCCCCCTGGCGGCCTGGCTCGGCGCTGAGCCAGGTTCCGAAATGCAAGGGGCTGCCGGCGGCTACAGCGCCGGGAGCTGGGGGCGCCCACTGCGCGCCCAGCCGCAGGGCCGTGGGGCCACGCCTGCAGGCTGGCTCTCGCCTTTCTTCACTGACAACAGAGGCCTCGCCCGGCGGACGCGCCTGTCTCCCACCTCCCACCAACCTCAGCCCACTTGGCCTCAGGTTCCCCGATGGCAGTGAGGTGGGACGGCTGGGAGGATTCTCCACCCTTCCACAGGCCCTCGCCTCTCAGTTAAAGAACAATTTTTCTAACTTTTGTCAAAACTTTAATACATTCGCAATATTCGACAATTCGCACCCCACCCCAGCGGAGATGCGTTCTTTTCCCAGCTCTCGCAGGCTGGGCCCGGGGGGGTTTTGGGCGCGGGCTCCGCGGGGCACCGTGCATTCGAGGCCCCAGGCCGGGGGAGGAGGCGGGAGCCAGTCCTTTGCTAGGAGCCCGTCGCGCGCAGGCGGGCCTTCCACCCCTCCCCGCCAGCAGTCCAGTTGCCTTCGGCCCTTTCCTCCCAAGCCTCCACTGGGCCCGCCCATAATGGGGCGTGGGTATCTCCCGCCGGCGGACGACCGCACGCCTAAATCTCCTCCAGGAAGTCGGTGGGGAACAGCCCCACCTTGCGGCCGGTGTAGACCTTGACGTAGCCGCCGGCTTCGTCTCCTTTCTGCACCACGATCTAGGAGCGCAGAGGAGCGCGGGGTTCAGAGGCTCATCCTAGGCTTATGAGAGGTCAGGGTCTTCAAGGAGTCTGGGGTGGGTAGGGGCAGCCGCGCTACCTGGTCCTTCTTTAGAGTGATCTGCCCTATCTCGCGGTTCCCCACGAAGGATCTCGTTACGCGGTGCACACGTTCTCCAGCCCGGACCCGAATGATGAAGTTCGGAGGGAAAAATCCGACCTTTTCCCCGATTTTCCCCTAGGGAAGACGGTAGGGAGAGTCAGTCCCTCAGTCCCAGGCTCTAGACTCAACCCCTATACTCCCAGTCCTAGCCATTTCTCTTACCCGCCACCACTCCTCATTGGAGTCATCAATGACTGTGATCCTCTCTCCTGGCCTAGGAGAGGAAGGGAGGAGCCTCATTCATTCCCTGGGTCCCTGGCTGCGCCCCCAAGTCCAGCCCCAATAGGCTTTAAGCCCCGAGTACCCCCTTTCCCATGGGAATCCAGCTCTCCCCTCTTCACACCGTCTTCCCCCCTCACCCCTCCTCCACCCCGCCTCTCACGGGAAATCCAGGTCGTCCTTCTCCAGGGCTTTGAACCGATAGAGAGCCACAAAGTAATGCGACTGCTGGAAGCCAGGCTGCTTGTGCTGGGAGTGGAAGGGAGTGATGAGTCCTAGGGCTCCTCTACCCCACACTGAGGGGCAGGAGGGCAAGGCAGGGCATTCTCCAGACACACTGAGAGGCAGGCAGGCATGGCAGAGCATTCTCCAGACACATTCGAACTCTCTTCCAGGCCCCTGAACTGGGAGTTTAAGGGGGGGGGGCGGGTAGCAGCAGGGAGTGTGGGTCAAGGATGAGGGAAACCGAGGAGTGTGAGCTTTTGCTGAGCAGACTTGGGCTGGGGAGAGGCCTGGGGTCCTTGAAGGAAGGATGGATTCTCACTTTGTCATCAGGTGTCTTCTCAGCCTTCTTATCTCCTTCAGGGTTTCCTGGGATGGGAAACATGACAAACTGTCTCTGGCTCCTGGAAGGCAGTCCTCATTCTCTTTCCCTTCTGTGGCAGGGCCTTTTAAAATCTCCAAACCTGGCCTGCCCTTTGCTCCTCCACCCTGTGCCACAGCTGAGTCCCTGGTCCTACTCCATCTCTGGACAGAGGCGGATGACACTCACCATCCTGGGGTTTGCCTTCCTCGGGTCTGGCTGCCTCTGGCTCCTCCTCCATCATGGCTGCTAGAGGCTGGAGGGGGACCAGAGTTAGGGAGATGCTGTCTTGCTCTGGTTCTCTGTGGTCAGGTTGGATAACTATAGGATACTGGGATCTCAGGGCTGGAAAAAACCCAGTCCAACCATCTGCCTAATGCAGGGACTTCCTCTGAAAGTCCCTGGCAGGTGGGTCACCCACATTGTGCTTGAATGTAGCTAAATGCCTGCCTTACAAAGTAACCCCTGGTGTTGGAAAATGTGATTTTCCCTACATTAAGCCTATGTCAGTCTTGCTGTAACTTTTAGTTATTGGTCCTGATTTGACCTCTGGAGTAATAAATGTAAAAAAAAAAAGTGGCCTCTTTAAAATGTCTAAGGACAGCTGACATGTCTCTAGTCACTTCTTTTCTAATAATTCTTCCCAAATAATTCTCAGTACCTTCAAATAAACCCCATGATCCAGATCCTTTACTATATGCTCTGCATATATATATGTGTATATATGTGTGTGTGTGTGTGTGTGTGTGTGTGTGTGTGTGTGTGTGTGTATATTTTTTTTTTTTAGAGTAGGAGTCTCACTGTGTTGCCCAGGCTGGAATGCAGTGGTCTGGTTGTAGCTCATTGCAGCCTCAAATTCCTGGGTGCAAGCAATCCTCCTGATTTAACCTCCCAAACTGCTGGGATTATAGGCTTGAGCCACCATGCCCAGCCAGAATTTTAAATGTATTAATTAGTGTATAAACTTTCTCTCCTAGCTTTCCCATAAACTAAATGAATATACCCTTTGTATCTTCATTTGCATCAGTGAGAAAAATAAACATATGTGACGACCATGGACCAAATCATGTTTGAGGTATCAGAAACCTCCCTCTAACTGAACATTCCCAAAAGGACTTGAACTCTTTGGATAGTGCCCAATTCAACCAATTGTAGGACTCCATCTAACTGTAAACATCATCCATACTAGCCCATCCTGGTTATCCGGAAAGATGTAAGAATACTCTTCACAAATTCCTTGCTGAACTGAATACACATCTAGTAATTTGGCAATTTAATTATCTTGTTACTCTGCTCTTGGCCAGTGGCTTTGTGCCTCAGTTTCATCATCTATAAGATGAATGGGTCAGACCAGATGATCTTCGTAGACCCTTGCATAGCTCTAGAATTCTTGGATTACTTAGCATGATAAATTCTCTTCCCAAGCATGGCTCCTGCCTGTGTTATCTGGCACTGCCAAAGGCCTGGGGCCTAGCCTTCAGGTGCATGTAGCAGTCAATCTGACAATTTGAGAAGGCACATTCTATGGCAGGAGATCTTAACTTGAGGTCATGGTGAGCTGAGTTGGTCCAAAAAATCCTCTAAAATGGCAGACAAAAAATTGTCTGTTGAGCTATGTGCAATTTGGGGGGAAGAGGATCTATAGCTTTCCAAAAGGGGAAATAGCCTGCCCTATGGAGTCTCTGGGAGGAATGCCAGTGGGGAGGTATGGTGCTCACATTTTTCTTATCTGCCTGTCCCTTCTTCCGTTCCTTGTTTGCCATGATCACCCCAGTGCGCAGGGTTTCAAACACAGGGTCATTGCGATTGGCAGCAGCTAGTGGAATGGGAGGAAAAAGAAGACATTATTGGGAAGGCAGAGAGACCACCTAAGGAGAGGTGGGTGTAAGTATGGATACTCATGGGGAAGTGTGTGGGGGAGGCCAGGGGAAAGAGCAGAGAAAGGTCAGCTAGGCAATACCTTGGTCACCAATCTATACAAGGCTCTAAAAACATCGCTGGTGGTGTAATGTGACAGAGAAAAATAATGATCAGGACTCCTCCCAGGCAGAGTATCATGATGTTGGAGAGACAACTCTGGACTCTTGGGAGTTGGGGTGGGCTTGGAATCACTATTCTCCTCCCAAGGACAGTGATCCCTTAACTACTAGCTTCCATGGCATGTGTGAGCTGGGGTGCTGCCACCTGCATATTCTTCTTTTTCACCCACGTTCCTCACAGAATTCAGCCACTCTTCCAAATAAATGTCGAGAACATTGCCAACAAAGATGCTTTTAAGGGTTGTCAAATTGTGAACGTGCCTAGGATGACTGTGGTTCTGGGTCTGGCCCTGAGTCCGTTATGACTGTAACAAGGGTAACAGTCTAGAATGCTTGTTGCTACTTAGAAATGGCCTTGCATATGAAGAGTACAGATTCTGAAGATAGCAGCTTCCCATCTTGGCTCTACCTCTTGCTAGCTGTATGGAACTACAACGAAATCTTATCTCCCTTTGCTGTAAAACAGGGGAATATCGATCCTGTATTCAAACGGACATACAAATATTAGGTTGGGGGAGAATCAGGGGAAATAGAATGTTTCTGTTTCTGAATTTGGCTTCCAAAGCCAAAGGTGGCTCGAAACCATCTCTAGACTTGCCCGTTCCCTCATGTTCGGTAAGGAGCACTTACAGACATCTTTGACACAAGCGTACTGCTGGTTGCTGTACAGTGGGGAGCTATAGGCCCGACGGAAACCAGGGGGCTGTAGGATCGGATGGGAGGAAGCATTAGAGGTAGCAAGGTAGGGCCCTGAACCCCATCTCTCCCATGAGCGCTTACCCCATCTCAGAGTTAAGAGATGGGCTGAGAAAGACAAGCAGGAAAATGTGACAACTGAGGAGACCAGCAAGGGGCAGATGGCAACATGTCCTCTTCCCTTCTACTTCCTCACTCCCCAGAGCCTACTCACAATCTTGCCGAAGCACCTCTGCATCTCCACATAGGATTGACAGTGTTCATGGATGTTGGTTTTGCAGTTCTTACAGCGAAGCCCAAATTTGTTGTTGACTTGGGAGAGGGGGAGAACACTGGGGTGAGGTTCCGGATCACCCCTTCCCATTGCATCCCTACTACACAGGGGCTTTCCTGTCTGGGGCCCTACTCTCAATGGCTGACAGTATGGCCTTAAATCAACTCCAGCCACAGTCCATGCGCTACAGACACCCTTCTCCTAGACCCTCCCCCATCTCCCGTCTTCACCATCACACTCTTTCCACTTCCCTCCGAGACTCACGAACGATCATCCGGGCACAGACATCACAGAACTTTGGCTTCTTGAAGAAGTGATCTTTGAACTTGTGGGGCTTATCGTTGACAAGCTTAGGAGGTTCTGGGGGTGGCTCCTCCTCCTCCTCCTCTTCTTCTTCTTCCTCATAGATGTAGTAGATGGGCCCACCCCCAGCTCCCACTGCCTCCCCATTGGCCTGGGGCTCTGGGGAAAGCTCCATCTCCTTTGTCTCTGTGGACCCCTTCCTGAATAACTGCTTCAGCCGCTGTAGCTGAGGGGAGTGAAGGAAACCCAATGTTAAAAGGACTGTCAACTTCTCTAGAGTAGGTGGGACTAAAGCTAACTGGACAGTTTTCTAGCTTGGGGCAAAGAACATGCCCCAGGATGAGGGGGTGTTGGGGGCTGCAGGTGCTGGCCAGCATCCGAACAACAAATGACACACAAGTGAGATCAACTGAAGAACTTTCCTTCAGGGGCTGTAATGGCTTCCCAGCCTCCCACACCCGATGGTCAGAGGCTGACTCACCCCACTTTGCCGAGTCTCTGCTGGGGAGGAGGGCTTAGGGGACTCCAGCACCTCCTTTTCTGTCATCCTGCAAGAGGTTGGACCCCACTATGAAATCTAATCCCTGACTGCCATCTTCCCTCCCTTAGTTCTGTCCCTTGAAGTAGGGTGGTCCTTGAAGGCGAGGCTTTGGGGAAAATTTGGTTAGACACAAATCCTTTGGCAGGGCTTATGAACAGAGATTTCAGAGAGGCCCAGAAAAAAAGCCCCACAGCCTGAAGAACTTCTCAGTCAGGTCCTCAAACTGGTCTCCATCCTCCTTCCTTTAGGGGCAGCCTCGGAGCTTGGAGCTCACAGCCCCAAGGGCTGAAGCCTGCATGGTTTAGGTGTTTCTGTGGGCAACAGAGAAGTGATGCACTCCTTTCCAGATACCCCATTCACTCGGGAGGTGTAATGTGTGTCCCTGAATGCATGGAGATGGCCTGAAGACATTTGTTCTCCCCTGCTTCTTTCTTGAGCTCTAGGGGCCTTGTGCCTAGTTCTGTCCCAGCCTGCCTCAGGCCTCATCTATTTTAAGTTTTCATAGTAATTTGACCCTTTCCTTCCATTACTACACCATCCCTTGACCCCACTCCCATGTCACCCTCCAGTGCTAGCTCATTCTGGAGTAGAATAATTTCATTCCTAAAACCCAAACTACTCACGAAGAATGAAGAAGTGGAATGGACTACAGACTGGGGCGGGTGGGGTGAGGGGACCTGGAAATGGAAAGAAGAGGAAGAGACAACTTACGTTTGGGACTCCCTAAGTCAGGCCACTGTCTGTGGAGGAAGAGGGAGCCCCTGAGACCTTGATGGTGGTGCTGGAGGAAGACTGGTCCTCTTCCTTGGGGGCTAAGCGCCCCCACCCAGGACCCTCCGTACTCACACCAGCTACCCAGATGCTATATGTAGGCCTCCTAGCCTCTTGCCTTGGTGTCAGAGCCGGAATGACAGTGCTGGAGGAACGTGGACAGCTGAGCAGCACAGCTGACACAGAGAAATTGGACACGGGAAGGTCTGGGGCAGGGCCGGACCCTAACTCCTCCCATCCTCCAGAGCTGCTGTTCCCTGATTCTTCTCTGGTGAGCAGCTCTGTACTGGCTGAGTTCAGGATGGACCATTTCTGTTCATGCTGCATACTCATATGAGGATATTTTAGATGATCGCAGGTGAAGTCAAGATGAATTATAAACAGATGCTCCAGTCCTTCTCCCCCAAGGTCCAAATACCTCCCCAATTCTACCTTCCCCAGACCTACTTCAGGAACAAGACTTACAGTCTCAGCTGTTTTCTTCTTATGGCCCTGTGTTTATATGCCCTCAAGGATTGATCTAGACTCTGACATTTAGGCTAGGACAGGCCTGGAAATAGGCAAAGAAAGTCTTATTTGAATTCTCAGAGCTCTCCTATCAGCCACACTAGATGGCTTTCTTATCCATGGGTAGTTGGAGGGGTACCTTGCTATCCTGTAGGGGAGTGAATATGAAGTACTGCTTTGGTCCTGCCAGCCACCCCCAGGGCCATCTTTCTTCCTGCTCTTCTAAAATTTTGTCCTCAGGGTGAAAGTAATTGCCAGGGTTACTAAAAGGACTGGGACTTCCATCTGAGGGACTTGCGGGGAGAGGCTAATGACCAGGTGGGATGGTCTAGTTCACACTGGCCAAAAGGCTATAGCTGCCACATGAGGAATTTTTATCATTTGTAAGTAGTGTCTCTGTCTCCATGAGAACTGCAAACTCTTCAAGGTAGGATGGCCAAGCCTCACACTTCCTAAAACCCTTTGATTCTCTGACTGCATCTCCCACCTCTGATGCCCAGTATATGAACTGATGGATCAGAGACAGATGGCATTCCTTTTTTTTTTTTGAGTTGGAGTCTCACTCTGTCACCCAGGCTGGAGGGCAGTGGCTGCTCCTCGATCTGCTGGGCTCCGGTGATCCTTCCGCCTCAGCCTTCCAAGGATCCTGGAATTATAGGCATGCGCTACCACGCCCGGCTGATTTTTTTGATTTATTGTAGAGATGAGGTCTCGCTGCCCAGGTGGGTCTCAAACCTGCGGGTTCAGGCAGTCCACTCACCTCAGCCTCCCAAAGGCGCGGGATTACAGGCTGAGCCACCGAGCCCGGCTTAGATG